TGTGTGTGTAAGTGTATAGAGCTTCTGTTCACAAATTTAATCCCCATAGACACAAGTCACTTGGTCCAGTCTGAAAAGGTGTTGTCAGGCTTGTTCTCTTGTTCTAGTCTTTCCCTGCTGAAAGCACTTACAGAATGTTGATCACAGAGCTACACAAAAAGTGTTTCTTGGAGTGTGTGTGTGTGTGTGTGTGTGTTACCTGTACTTGTAATTCATTTAATCTAAAAAAGTGTGATTGTCTGACACTCCCAGTAGAGGCCAAAAGTAGAGATTTGAAACACCAGTGTAAAATATACTGGCAAATATGGACCTTAAAGTACATCTGGGGGCATCCTGGTTGCTAAAACTATGGTTCCCAACTTGTTTGGCATGTAGCCCCTTAAAATATAGCTTATAGATAAAGTACCTTTGGGGTCCCTATCGAGCAGCTGATACTTGGAACCTGCAACACAAAACTAATCATCTCTCAACTCTTTCTCCAAAACTATAAAACAGTAGTTACTGCATAAACAAATATGCTGTCATAATCTGGAGAAGTATTTCTGTAATTGTTTTACTATTTGTCTCTTCTTATTTACTTCTGTTTTCTTTAATGTCTTTTATATGTTATACGATAATGTCAGTGTTTTACTAACTGTCTGTGCTTATGTGCTTTTGTATGTTTTCTTTTAATGTTCTCTTATATGCCATCAACCTGATGAAAATGAGCCTGTATGGCTAAATCTGGCACATTTATATGATGGACTCAAGTGTTAATTGATGTGTATTTTCCCTCCTTATATAAATAAACAAGCAAACAATGATGCAATACATTCAAGCATGCAAGGCAATGATGATATATACCATTAGACGGCTGTCGAGCCACTGTGGGCCGTGTTGCAAATCAATGAGCAGGACAATTTAATATTTGTTTTATTATTATTGTTGCATCAATGTGATAAAGTCCTTTGATTTGTAGGGTATTTATTCTGTTAGTTTTCATACAAAAAAAACCGTATCTGAATATTAAACAGTTTTTTAACTGATTTACAAAATGTAATAAATACTGTGATATGAAATTACATGTACCATGATTGAGCATTAACGATATCCATATCTCCATACCATAATGTGAAGACTTTTTAGAGACCTGAATTATCCAGCATTTCACAATAACAACGTAAAAGCAAAATTAAAAAACATAATCTTGTGTTAACATTTTTTTATGTTTTCTATACCTTGATTACTGGTGAACCCACATACTTCTTTTGGATCCCAACTTCCAGGTTAGGAACCACTGATCTAAAACAATGACCATGTAACTGCAATGTCATTTCCTGAATTAAAAGTGCATCAAGAGCAGCATGTGAATCCTGCTTTATGATGTATGACGAGCAAGTATCAGAGTTAGTGGCCTAAAAGGTGTCAATTCTAGGGGCAGAGCAATGTTACCTATAGCGTGTCTGGGGGCCTACTAAAATATCACTACGACAGAGAAACCAAAGAAATATTCTGTTACATGGCTCGGAATCTCAGGCTTTGCCCCTGTGACAAGTCATCATTCCCCTCCGGCTGTGTTTTATCATTTGTTTCTTCCTGCATGTGAGCTTTGCCGCTGATTACGACATGCTCTACTTGGCATATTAACTTCAGAATCTACTGAATCTCTCTAATACACCATCAGTTTCTTATCCTGCAAAGCTCTTTGATATCCATTACTTTATGAAAATATAAAAATATAACACCTATGTTAATATGATTGAAAAGATCTAACTTGCACTGAAGTGATACAAAAGAGTCTGTGTGATGCAGTGAAGGAAAAACACTGCTGATGGGACTTTAGGTTCACAAATGCTGTACATCCGGTGTTTGCGAAGACTCCAGCACAGAGGGCCCCATATGGGTGATGCATGGGAGCCATTTTTGTTCAGAAGCGCTGATCCAGGGCGAGTCTTTTTTTTTCGAAGGAATTCCTTCTGCCTGGCTGCTTTGATACTAGCTGTCTGGTTGTATTTACATACATACAGTAACAAGGAAGCCTGCAACAACAGCAGAAAGGGAAGCAGATTTGTTTTCAACAGAACTGTCGCTACAGAACTGAAACAAGCTGATGCAACCAGTTACGGTTGGGATCTACATCTGAGCAGGTGCTCAGGTGCTAACATGTCTTTAAGTCACCTTACAAATTATTTCTAGGGCTGAAACCATTATCTACTGATGTGCATTATCTCTTCTCAATTAATCAGTTGTTTGGTTGATAGAGTGTCAGAAAACAGTTAATAAATAAGTAAATGTCCAATGTCCAGATGACCAAAACCCCAAAATATTTAGTTTAGTGTAGAAGACAAAGAAAACAAGAAAATATTCACATTTGAGAAGATGAAACCAGTTATTTTTTTTAGAATTTTAGACAGTTAGTTGATGATCAAAATAGTGGCAGATTCATTCTATTATTAGATATTAGACATTCTTTCAGCTGTAGTTATTTCCTTTTTGTGGAACATTTATCAAGAAGCACCTCATGAAAACAACATATTATTATGACTTTTAGTACAGTCTCTGTAAAATCCTCCCATTAGAGTCTTATCACACACTAAATCCAAGCAATAGCAGTGTTGAGGACGCAGTTAGGGCATTTTTGGCCTTAAGACAAGTACTTTTGTACACAAATGTCCATCAGTTGCAGAGTATTGCCAATACACCAGAGCGGCTGACGAGAATCGTGTTTTGATAAAACACTCCATTGAAAATGTTGACTGCAGCATCTGGCGCCAAATGAAAGTAGGAGCCATCATGGCACATACAAACACCATCGAGTGAGAGCAATGACATGCTTCTTTTAACTCCTTCTCCTCAATAAAGATCATTCATCAGGCAGAACCATCCCTCAGAAATGTGTGATTGGAAATCGGGGGACTTTAAATCCCTGTCCAGGACTCTCCATCCATCTTCAACACGCCAGTGGTCTGGACGCTCAGAGATGAACTGCTGAACCAGATGCCACCATTCAGCCGGTCTCCTCTACCTTTTTTAAAATAATAATAGTAAATACCGTCAAATGCATGGAACCCAAAATCAGGCAGCCACATCACAATTTCACTGAGGCAGTGAGGCATCCCAAACCTGCATCCAATTTAGAGAGATATGGGGAGCAGAGAAGGTAGAGGTCCCCCATGTGCACTTCCCAAAAACAAAACAGATGCAGGATATTAAGTGTGTGTATGTGTGTGTGTGTGTGTGCGTCAGATGTATACATGGGCTAAAAGAGGTGATAGTGTTGAGACATGAGGTGCAGCGTAACCTTTGAAAGGAAACAATTCAACTCTGTGATGGCCTTTCCTGTGTTGACACGCATGGAGAAACCTTGGGAATCAGATGGCATTCACCCTCTGATTCCCTATCATAACCCCATTCGCTCACTATCATTATGATGGCGACGCCTATAGTTAGATATACCGAGTTCACAATTATTCTCATGATATGGAAGGGGGGAAAAGATGGATGTTAATGCTACACAGTCTGCACGAGAGCCAAGTTGGCATAATTTTGCTGTATTCTACGTGTTATAAATATGACTGATGGCGATAGTCAGTCTGTTGAATTACATTTACATATAGATTTACATTCCCATCAACATGTAATAATAGCACAAGCCTGAAGGTCCATACTAGTCACTCAGACATGCATGCGCACCGAGTGTGCACATGCACACTTTCCAGCATTTCATAGTTAATATTGGTGCCTTATTGAGGAAGGTGAAAACGCCCAACATCCATCAGACTGACAATAGTCTGTGTAGTGAAACACAGTGTAGGGACCTGCTGGACCTTTTGTCTGCAGAAAGACATATGATGCTTTAGAAGTACCCCAGTTTACAATTCCACATCAACTTTAATAATTACATTGTATAATCAGAGTACAATGATGTACACAGAATATGTACAACCATAAGATGATAATATTTTGCATAACAGTAGAGAGTAGAGTAGTTCAGCCAGCACTGTTATTCAGATCTCCTGTTTTTTGGAAGTGTTGTTGGAAGAGATTAGTGGTTATTAAGAGAGACAGGGATTGACAGGCAACAAAGAACTCCCGGCTGGACTTGAACTGGGGATGCCATTACCACATGATCAGCATCCCCATCCCCTTGGCCACCAGGACATAACAGATTTTTTAGGATTTTTTTTATTTTTTAGACCTTAACCTATAGTTTCAGATGATGATTTATAATAGGCAGAGTATAAAAAGAGATAACACACAGAGAAAACAACAAAGACAAAATGGATATTGTAATAAGTTTCCATCATAGATTATATATTTTTTCTTTCCCTTAAATCTTCCCACTACCTCCTTAAATTACACTGATGAAATCATGAGAGACTGTGACCTACACATCCTCTGTTCTAAACATATAGGCCCAAATTAATTTCTTCACATCACAGATTAGGTAATTTTATGGAATCTTGGTGGCCGAAACACTGTTACAATTAAACTGTTGGATAATTGTATAATTATGTTCCTTTTGTATCATCAGGATATATACGTATATTATAGGTAACAGTGATATGGGCCAATACCAAAACTTGCAGAGAAAAACCTTTCATTACTGACAGTCACAGGTTGTAAGTTTGCAGGGTCATAGAAGGTTTTCTATTTTACCTCTGTCAACTATTTATTAACTTTCTTTCCATTCTGTTTTCCACTCTAAAATCTTAAATTACTAAAAGATCCACTAAAACGTGTTCCTGGTGTCTGGTCAAAATGACCTATGCTCCAGCTATGATAAAGTCTGCAGATTTAAGATGGCACTTATAATTCTAATAATAATATTTCTAAAATCCTGGCTCTAGTCCTGACTGATTCAAGTGTTGGAACTGGATTACCTTAAACATATAAAAATCCCTCCAGCCTCACATTTTAAACTCTAATCTAACAATATCCGAACTTTACATTAATTACTGACGTTTTGCCACCATATTTCACGACACTGTCCGGCACAATCACAGTGACCCCCCGATAGTAATCCGCTCAGCAGCGCGCAGTGAAACATTACGGTCGGCCAACCTCTTTCATCCGGACAGACCCGGAAGTTGTTTGTGTGTCTGCCTCTCGCTGGAAGCAGCTCCGACTCTCTAACCTCTCCAGTTTGTCGGATAAAGGTGAGCTGATGCCGACTGACAGCAAATACTTAACATGTACACTGTTTACTCTGAGTGGGGCTACCTATTGTCCACGTGTGCGTTTTCTTTCACACGTGTTTGTGGCTGAAGAGCTTCATTGTTTACATCCGACCGGCTGCTCATAAACACGTGGACGGACAGGGGAGACACATGCTAACGGGGACTGTCGACATCTGGGAGTACAAGTGACTGGAGCTCATCGACAGTTGTTCCGGCGGTTCTGTGTTTTGGGTCCAGTTAACAGCGACAGTACCGAGCTGAGCTAACTGTGCTACTGTCTACCTGCTAGCTCGTTAGCATGTAGCTAGCCGCGGCTACAACCGAGCTAACTACAGCGCGATGCTTTTTTTACCTATTAAACTGAGATTGATGCTGTTTTGTTTGTATTTATAGTGTAATCAGTTGTGTGTGTGTGTGTGTGTGTGTGTGTGTGTATCCCTGACCAAC